AGGAAACAGAACTTCCAGAACATGGTCACACAGCCCAGAAGACCCACACCAGCCATCGTATTCTGGCCGTGAAAGCCTTCGACAATACAATGGAACTGTTGCTTCCTGTGACCTGGACATAATGCTGCTGCGTCCCACTGTTGGCTTATGTTCAGCTGTTGTCCACTAATACTTATCCTCCTATCCTTATCCTTTTCACATGCATTTCTGTCAAGCCAGGTCTCTACTGTGCAGTTGATTTTTCCTTCCTAAAGACAAGATCTTTACACTTGTTATAATTAAATATTATCTTGTTGTGTTTACTCCATATTCAAAACCTGCTGAATGAGCGTATGGGTATGGTAACAGATGACAGTCCTTTTGTTATTATTTTCTTGGATAGAGATAGAAAGTGTAATTTTACTTGGTTACTTTCTCTGAAATCATACCTTGAGCACTTGAATATTTATTGTTGGTAAAAAACTGGTGAGTTCCAAAACAGTGCTAATGAACAAGAATACTTGCATTTCTTGGTTCCTTATTGGGTAGGAAAACAACCGTTTCCATTTACAAGAGAAACTGGAAACAGCTACCCCACTCAACTTATCCTTTCCCTGGACCTCGGATACTAGCAGTTAGAAAATCTATAGCATCTGGGAAAGTCAAAGTCTGCTCTTAATTAGACATGTTTGTTGTCTATTGGCTACAGTACAGTTTGACCTACCTGCCTGGATGTGAATATTTTACTATATGAAGTTAAACTTATAAAATCAAGAGGTTTTTCAAATTCATACAAAATTAGTTGGAAAGTGCAGTTTTCAGCCACTACCGATTTAAATATCTGTCTCCCACCTACACTTTGGAAAAGCACATGCTTTCTGTATTCCAGAAGACTAGGAGAAAAAGCCCACTATTTATAGATACATCCCAAGCCAGTGTACTGGGACTGGACTTTCTGGAACATGTGCTCTGATCTTGGCTCTTAGTGTGCTATACTGTACTCTCCTTAGAGAAAATTGTGCTTTTTTAACCTCTTGCTGTCTTTTCTTCTTCTTCTTTTCTTTTCTTTAGTGCCGTAATTCTTTTCTTAGCTAGATTTGTATCAAAATCTCACTTTTAGAGCAGTAAATTCTGTTCCTGATTCTGAATGCATTAGTGATGTTACTGTTTTGGAAGAAATAACTATAATTAGTTATTTTCTTTCAGCAGCATGGTTATTTCCACAACTTAGAAGGCCAGTAAATATTCAGATGGGATTTTTCAAACCTAGTCAGTTTTGTTATAATGAGCCCGTTTGGGAGTCATATTTAGCCAGTGAACCTGGCTTAAGAAGTCACACTAGTCAGGCAGCTCATTCATTCCTGTCTTTTTAATAACAAGTAAACAAACCAAGTATATTTCTGTACTGGTAAGGATTCTGGATAATCCTGGATTATTGTGAGCAGGTTATTTGCTTGTTTGCTCTTGTATAGTTCTTCCCATTTCTCTTGCATGCCAGGTATGCAAATTAGAGTTAATACTGGTTATGGATCCTGGCTTGTTTGTGAATGACAAACCAGAATCCCTAGTTCAGATGACACACTAAACTTTCCTGACTTATTTAGCTCTGTCCCTTTTCCATTTTATCAGTCTCAAGAAAAATTAACATATTTGATGGGTAAGACTAACTTTTCCCAACCTGGTCATTTCCAGATGTGTTGGGATTGCAGTTCCCAGAATTGGCTGGTGCATATGTTAGGCCTGTAACTCACATTGCTGTTCAGCAATTATGTTTCTAGAGTCTTAGCTTTTAGGCTCCTCTGTTGAACATTCTAATGGAATTAGGGTTAGCGCTCCTAAGAGACTGTGTCTCCTGTTATGATTCTCCTGCCCTCTTGAATCAGCCAGAAAGGTTTGGCTATAAACCTATTTCTACATCTTGTTCAAATGATTGTATCCAAGAGAGCTGTCAGTGTAATAATTTGCCAGATGGTGTGAAATCAGTGCAGGCAGATGAAGGCTTAGTAAACGAACTTTCATTGACCTAAAATTGATAGATGATAATCTGGTTCGTATATTGAGTAGTGCTTTTTTACCTGTTATGGCATAAAAATACCACATGCTGTTAATTATTTAACTTAATGTAGCATATAAAAACAATAAATCTGGAATAATTGACTAAATAATGTAATATATAATATATAACTAATCTAAGAATGACAACAACTGATTAATAAATGGGACATAAAAGTTTCATTTTAGAGGTCATGGTAGAGAAAATATGTTTGTCTTTGCTCTGGAAATTTGAAATGTTGAGCTGGCAAATCAAGCCATCTTGTCTTTAAATGGAGAGGGGGGCACTTGGTAGGCCCATGTAATGCCCCTGCTTCATGAGTTACGCTGGCTCTCAGTGGGCTTCCACGTGCAATTCAGGGTCTTGGTTATCCTCTGCATGGCACAGGATCAGGACCAGCTTGTTTGTGGAACTGCCTTTCTCCAACTGTTTCTGCCAGTCTCACACTAACACAATAGGCGTGCTTCAGATTCCATTGCTGAAGCAATGTTATCTGATGGGAACTAGGAGGCATGCCTTTTCTGTGGCAGCACCTGCCCTCTAGAATGATCTCCCAGACATATGGTTTGCCTGATCCAGTTGGCATTTAAAAAGACATTAAACATTTGGTTGTTCCCCCAGGTGTTTGGGTTAGGATGATAGGAGATCTCGCCTTGGGAGATGGAGTCTATACTTATGGTTCTCAATAGCCTATTAATTGTAGATGTTGTAATTTTAACTGTATTTTCATTTTTTGTTTTTTTCTTATTGACGCCGACCACCCAGCATTGCATTTATTTCAGTTGCATGGCCATGTAAATTCCATAAATAAATAAATACCTCTTGAATTAAACCTCAATTTTTTCCTTGGTGGAAATGATGAGTAAATGAATAGGTAAATGAATCTACTCAAAGCCATGTTCTTTGAGCTTCGTTTCTTTCATTTACCTGTTGTGGAATACTGTAGACATGTTTAGTGAAAGTAGTGATGGGGCAAGTATAGTTCACCCGTCCTTTGTGTTTTTAGCTTGCCCCTCCTTCCAAATTTTATTTCTCTTCCATCTCCTACCTCTGGCTATAAATCTTCCTCAACCTTTCTTTTTCCTTTGTTAATTCCTTTTTTCTTCAGAGAGATTGGAAACCTAAGCTAGGAAGAGGTTGCTCTGAATTCTGAGCAAAACCTCTCCCTCCCCCCAAAGCTGACAAAATCAGCCATGGAAAAAGTCAGAGAACCACCACAGTAGAGTGCCCCCCTCCACATAGCTGGTCCAGAAGGATACTGTGGTCAGTGGCACTGAGAACCATTGAGAGATCTAAGAGGGCCAGAATGGTCACACCTCTCCCATCTCACCTCTCCCATAAATCATCATCAAGTGGAACCAATGCAGTCTCAGTACTATATCCAGACTGAAACCCTGACTGAAAAGGGTCCAGATAATCTATTTCTTCCTGGGTCCTCTATAACTGCAATCTGACCACCTTCTCCACAGTATTCCTCTAAAAGGGAAGGTTGACGACTAGACAAAAATTATCCAGAGCAGTTGTATCCAATATAAATAAACACACACAGAGAGATACAGACGTGTGTGTGTGTTTATGCACACACATACACATACATTTTTGGACTGATTACCACAAGTGAACATGCTCTGACTTTAAACAAATCTACCCAAATTGTGAGGTGAGAAACAAGGTGAAAGAGTAATAATGAAGTGATTTTGGCAGAAGCTGTGGGAACTATGGGGCTTAGCAGCCTGCACTGTAAACTAACAAAGTCTTGTTTGTATTTGACATTTTTATATGCTCAGGTGGATTTGCAGCTGCAGTCACCACTCCTCTGGATGTAGCCAAGACAAGAATTATGCTGGCAAAGGTAAGAACTTGAAGAACAGTGTGGAGATGGCTGGCAAGCTTTCAGATTAATAATTCTGGCATTTTGCTTAGTAGTAGCAGCAAAACTGAATCCACTGTCTGTTCGTAGTTTTGGTACCAGAATCATAATGAGAATAAGTATCTTTTATTTCCACATAGAATAGAAGAACTGCTACATTTCTGTTCTTCAATAAACTAGTTCTAGGAGCAAACTTTAAAAGACCAAGCAGCTTTCTCATTCACTGGGGGTTTTGTTTTGTTTTTTGTGGCATGATGTTTAGTAGGAGGTAATAACCTTTTCAATACAGTTTATGATGAGTATCTGTTTGGTAGAATAAAATGGAAAACTGTAAGTGCTTGACTCTGAGCCATAGAGCTTATCCGTTGCAGATAAACGCTTCCCAATTCAGTCACTCTCATCTCCAGTGAAAGGGCTGCAGGAGACCTTTGCCTGAGATTTTGGATGACATAGTGGTCTTGTTGAGGCAGCTTCTTATATGTATGTATCTCTCTCTTTGTCTGTATAGACTGGCTCCAGAAATGCAAGTGGGAATGTGTTGTCAGCTCTTCAAGGTGTTTGGAGAACCCAAGGGATATCTGGGTAAGGATAAATGGGCAGGGGTGGAGGGAAAATGTGAACACATTTTTTTCAGTACACAGTGCATTTTTCTCTGAATCTCTAAGCAAAGCAACATATATGCATATTTTTTCACATAAATGTCCCGTGCTTTAAAGCCTGTATATGTCTTGTCTGGTGATAATTTGTGAGAAGTCTTTGAGAAAGTTAAATTGATACTAGCTAGATAGTTTTTGTGCAGGGCTGTGAACGATGTAATTTTTTCATAATTTTCTGTATATTGTATGAGTTTAAATAGTTCATGATGAGAAAGGAAAAAAGAAGCTTTTTTGTGGCTTAGGGAAGCAACAGTCATAATCTGTTCTGTGACTGGTATTTGTCTATTGTTAGAGCATTCTGTAGTTTATTTTGAATCAAAAGATAGCAGAGTTTTCCCCATAGAGCACTAGGAAAGTTATGATTAGCACTGAATATTATAGATCTATGTATTCTTTTTTTTATTTCATAGATTTATATCCCACCTTTCCTCTAAAAGTTCAAACAGAGTATCTTCCACACTCGATCTATGTATTCTTTTTTTATTTCATAGATTTATATCCCACCTTTCCTCTAAAAGTTCAAACACGGTATCTTCCACACTCTCCTCCAGTTTTATCTACCCCAAAGCAACGTGAACTTAGTTGGGCTGAGAGAAAATGAGTGGCCCCAAATCATCCAATCAGCTTCCATGGCTGAATATAGACTTCACCATGAGTGTCTTCAGTCCTTGTCCAACACTATGATTGCTTGCTTTTAATTTGATCTATTAAAATAATGTTTCATTAGTTGTGCACTGCAAAGCATCTACCACTTCTGTTGTTTCTAGATATACTTTTGTGTGTTTTTCAATAGTTTTTGGGATAAAGAATAATGTTATAAGGATCTAAAGTTTGTGTGCTGCTTATTTTTCAAGAAGCAGATACCTCCTGCTTGGTGAAATGTACTGTAGAATGTATGCATTAAAACAATATTGTTCTTTCTAATTGTCACAGAATAAGTCAGCAGGTTCCGTCCCCCAAAAATAAACAATAGCAATGAAACAAATAAGATAGCTGGGAGGTGAAGGAAATGGAATCTGTGGACCCCTTAGATTTCAGTGATCTTCTCCCAGGCTGCTCTGGAACAAAGAAGCCTTCATTAGCTCCAAAGCTGCTTAGTCTACCGTGGCTCATCAGCCATGGTTTCATCCCAGTCTTAACTTACTCTTCTTTCCAGCACATCAGCCTCCTTTTATTTCCTCTCCCCTTTCCTGTGAGAAAGTTCTTCTCTGTGTGAAAAGCTTATCTACTGTTCTCTCAGCCTGCGCATGTCAAAGTGGAAGAGCAACGTGTATGTCTGGGCAGTCATGTAACACAGTGGCAGGCGGTGCTCAGCTGCCACATTCGGTCACAGCAGCCCTTGTAAGCTTCCCAAACTCTCACCTTCATATGGAAAGGAGACACCTGAAGAAGCCATGGATGCACAATATATTGGTTGGATATACAGTGGTACCTCGGGTCACGAACTTAATTCGTTCCGCGACTCTGGTCGCGACCCGA